GTTAAATTTATGCTAATAAATTATGTAAAACTCTAAAAATCTATACCCTTATTAATAATTTTCTTCCTAACACCCTCATCTAGAGATTTTCATATTTCAGAAGGAATTGTATTGGAAATTTATAAATTTGAAAATGTATTTGTTCATTTATTCATTAAAATTATTCCGGATTATTTTTATCGTGTCGATATTATATATTTTATATTATCAATTATCAATTTCTAGAAAATAAAGGATGACGTTCACCATCCGACACGTATGCATTCCAAACTCTACGGTCTCCGGCGGCACGCAACACTTCCCTCTTCTCCTCCTCCTATAAACCACATAAATTCTTTCCCCCAAATTAATCGCTAATCTTCTTCTCAATCCTCTATCCAATTTCCTAATTCAGGTTCTTTCACCACCTTTTTTCCTTTTTTATTTTCTTCCATGATCATGATCATCATCACATGTACTCTATATAGCCCTAGCTTTAATCTTTAAGCTTCTTCTTTCGTTTCAATTTGGCTAAGTTAACTGCCTTTTTTAATTTTTCTGTGCATATTCTTCGATTTCTGGAGTTCAATTGTTATAGAATCGGACGTGTTTAAGCTGTTTGGTGTTGTAATTTCTCAATTCGGGTGAATTTGTGGATTTCTGTGTTGGATTTTGATTGTTGTCGACCAAAGTTTGTATCTTTATTGTTGTTGTACCTTTCCCCCTTTTGGTGACAATCAAGAATAATTAATCCAGTTTTCCCACAAAAGTGATTCCTTCAATTTAATACTCATCCGTTCACGGAATCAATCCAGTAAATTAGGGTTTTCGATTCCGCAATTTTTAAGAGCTTAGCAAACTTGTAATTTGAAGTCTGAAAAATGGTCGAATCAATGGCTGCAACATCCCTGTTAGGGCCTACACCAATTTTAGGGCACCATTGGAGACAATCTTCAGGTAAACGGGTTGCAATGAACCCTAATCGTTTGTCCAAGGTTTACGCAATCAAAGCTCAAGCAATGGAGTTGACTAGAGAGATCTACAATTTCAAAGAAGAAGACAGATTTCAGAAGAATTCCGATAACCAATTCAACACTAACCATAACCTAGACAGAAAACCAGGGTCATGGCCTCCGAACAATAAAGCAGACAACCCATCATTACAAAACCCATTACTTCGTCAACACCAAATGGGTTGTGGCTGGTTAGGTGCCATATTCGAATGGGAAGGAGTCCTGATAGAAGACAACCCAGATCTTGAAAAACAATCATGGCTTGCACTTTCACAAGAAGAAGGTAAATCCCCACCTCCTGCTTTTCTCCTCAAAAGAATCGAAGGCATGAAGAATGAACAAGCGATCTCAGAAGTCTTATGTTGGTCAAGAGATCCATCTCAATTGAAAAGAATGTCATCAAGAAAAGAAGAAATCCATCAAGCCCTACAAGGTGGGATCTACAGATTCCGTGATGGGTCCCGCGAGTTTGTGAATGTTCTAACACGTTACAACATCCCAATGGCTTTAGTCTCCACTCGGCCACGAAAGAATCTTGAAGAAGCGATTGGTGCAATTGGGATTAATGGTGTTTTCAGTGTTGTGGTGACTTCTGAAGATGTTTATAGAGGGAAACCTGATCCTGAAATGTTCATGTATGCAGCTCAACTGTTGAAGTTTATACCTGAGAGATGTATTGTGTTTGGGAATTCTAATTTGAGCGTTGAAGCTGCTCATGATGCTAAAATGAAGTGTGTGGCTGTGGCTAGTAAGCATCCGGTTTATGAGCTTAGTGCTGCTGACTTGGTGGTGAGGTGGCTTGATGAGCTGTCGGTTGTTGATTTGAAGAATCTTGCTGATGTGGAAACTGAAACTGAGGTGGAAATGGAGTTGGAGGAGGGGAATGTGCTTCCTTCTTCAAGGGTGGCTGTTGATGAACATGATGATGATGGTGATGATGATGATTTGTGGTGAATTGTGTTGGATTTGTACAGTAGTTTTATGGGTATAGTGTTAATTTGAAACGATCAAAAACTGTGTATTTGGTGTACTTTTTATAGTTTATAAATGCGGCAAATGGAAAATGTAAAGTGGTAGTCTCATTAGATTACCGGTTATAGCATGGTGTATGTATCATATGTGTTTAATATGTATATATATAAATCTCTGAATTTTCAAAGTTGTTGCTTCTTGTTCAATTAATGTATATCTCTTGGAAGCATATTGTCAAACAATCGAGTAATTATTATGATGTTGGTGATGATGTAAATATATACTCTATTGAACACTTGAAAATTCATCATACATATGTTATCTTTTAATTAATACATATGTTATCTTTTAATTATTTGTTTAAATAGTGGATTTTTTTTTTTAATAGGACATTGGTTTGACAATGACGAAGTGATGATTACATATGATCAAGGAAATTAAGAAGGGTTAATGATCTAGAAAGGTAACCGATTTTTATCTGTCCACATTTAGATAATCATGTTTTTTTGTTCACATTTGACCATTGAACTTGTTTGACCTGTTCGAAATAGGGTAATATGACCGGTAATTACGGTAATATTATCCTATTATGAACAGGTCAAACAAGTTTATTGGTCAAATGTGTACGGAAAAAACATAGTCACCTAAATACAGACAAAAACCAAAGTTTCTTACCCGTTTTGGTAATACCGGACAAGAACCGTCTTAGGGACTATGTGCCCTAGGATCAAGCTCCGACAGCTAATAAACAATTAGGTTAGGCTTGGTCTAACCCAGTTTAATCCCGTCTAGTCATGGGCTAAGCTGTGTTGTTCGGTCTTTAAAACACATACAACCTAGCTCTTTAAGCGTATACAACCTAACCCCTAACTAGTTGGGCCTAAACTAAGTTGGCCCAAGACTTAACCATCTCCTCATACACAAGACCGGACAACCCAATTTCATTTCACATCAATGGATCTTATGACTACTTGCACTTAACATAAAGAACCTACTATTACCAAAATAGGTAAGGAACTTTAGTTTTTTGTTTAAATTTAGGTAATCATGTTTTTTTTGTATACATTTGACCAATAAACTTGTTTGAACTGTTCATAATAAGGTAATCTTACCGTTAATTACCCGTCATATTACCCTATTTTGAACAGATCAAACAAATTTAATGGTCAATATGAACGAAAAAACAAAGTTACATAAATGTAGACGAATACCAAAGTTCGTTACCTTTCTAGGTCATTAACCCAATTAAGAAATAGAGAGTGACGATATTGTTTTTATATTTATATAATATTTATTAGATATTAAACCTGATGTTGTTGGAAATATGAATCGTTAGGCTATACGGTATCGAGTTTTGGTGGCTACACGTGGGGCCTACGTGGCAAGGTTACCTACGCGTGAACACCGCCCCAGATGCGCGTAGGTGACTTGTGGCGTGGTGCGTATCACGGATGAAGACAACGAATGAAAGGGAGAGAGAGTGTGTAAACGGTTCTTTTTGACCGTTTGCATTTCAAACAAAAAAAATTAATTTAAATTTAAATTTTAGATAACATCTTTCAATCTTTATATATATATATATATATATATATATATATATATATATATATATATATATATATATATATATATATATATATACACACACACACTACGCGTGGGTCCAATTGAAGTCCAATTCCGTCGACCACCAGGAAGTGACAAAGCAAAACGGGCGGCGTCTTCAAGTGGGAAAACAACCGCAACTAGCGACGACAGACTTGTGGAATCTATAGATAAAACTTTAAGTTTTCTAGAAAGAAAATACGAATCCACGGAGGATTCTCGTCGCTAAAAAACCACTCTTACCGATCTTCAAATCATAAACTCGAAACCCCTACCAGATCTTGACCCCGAAAATCTTGCGACATTTCTCTAAATCCAACAACGTGTCCGTGCTAAGTATGAGGATTAGGTTCTAATATTTATGTTTTAGTTGTTATGCTGTGTTTTTTTTAAGTAATTTAGGATAAATAAATAGTTTAAGATTGTTTTAAGTATTTTATGATAAATAAGTAATTTAGGATTTTTATTGTTGTTTTTTTAAATATTTTAGGATTTGATTTTGTGTGTTTTAAAATTAATGCAATGTGTTTTAATTTAGTGTTTTTTAATGTGTGTTTTATGTGAATTACTTTTTTTAATTTAATCAAATATTTTCAAAAAAAAAAAAAAAGGAAAAAATGAGTGGAGTGGTATTTGGTAACCATTTCCAAGGGTTAGTGTGTTGGTAGTGAGTTTGTAGTGGAAGTGATGTGGTGCTAATGTGACGTCACTTTTTGAGTTGGTTGTGTGTGATCATACCCTTTAGCCTTAACGATGTGCATGGTCGTAAAAAAAAAATTAGTTTGGTTGTGCTTTTTTTTTTTTTTTTTTTTTTTTTTTTTCTTTTTTTTTATAATTTTCTTGATTTTTTTTTCTAAGAAAAATGAAAAAGAGTTATAAAACATATTTGGTTCAAAAAATATTCCAAAAGTTTTGTAAGAACAGATTTTTTTTTAGTTTTAAGTATAACTTTAAAAGTACTAATTGTTATATATATATATATATATATATATATATATATATATATATATATATATATATATATATATATATATATATATATATATATATGGCACTATGGCAGCACACCGGTGTAATATGTAACTCATTGCAAAGGGAATTTGACTTATTAAGGTAATTAAGTCTTTCAAATGTTCACATATGGGTAATATTGTTTTTTTTGTACTTATTTACCCAACTAACTTGTTTCAGCCGTTCAAAAATAACCAACATTACCGGCTATTACTTGTTTTAGCCGGTAACATTGATTTAGCTCGGTTTAAAACATTACGTGGAATCTTACGTGGCCATTACACCCCTTTCTCATTTAATTAGGGTTCGTCATCGTCAGCTAACACACCTCGATTACCTTCATCTGTGAGAAATCAATCGATACATCAAATCGACGATTAGGTCTTGGAATTGAAGTTGGAATTGAAGTCGACTGCTAGCATGGCATCCTCATCTACAGGTATGTATGTATCTGTAGATTTTCATTACAATGGATTCTTTTCGCCAAACCCATTGGTGTACTTAGACCCCGTAAAAACAAATGTACGTGATGTGGATTTTGGGGGATTTACGTATAAAGAGTTTCTTTTGTGGCTTACGAAATTAACAAATGGAGAATGTGATAATGTCTACTACTGTATGAGAAAGGAAAGCTTGTGTGAGGGTATTAGAAGAATCGACAGTGATGTTGATTATTGGGAGTTTGTGGAGACTGTTTATAGTCTGGAAAGTGATAGTCTTGAGAGTGAGTTAGATGTGTACATTGACCACCAAAATGAACCAATTCTTGATTGGGCTAATAACGAGTTCTTAGAAGATGGTAAAGGGTATGAGTTGGATGAAGAGGATGACAAGGATTCTGAAGTTTCAATGACAATGGAATATGAACATGAATGGGATGATGAAGATGAACATACTTTTGATAAAACTGTTAGAGACCCATTCTTGGACAAACTTTCAGGGCATATTAGTGATGATGATGAAGAGGAAGCAAACAATGGGAAACTTAAGGATGTTGTGTTCCCTGTCCATAATGAGAATCAAGAATGGGAGCAAATGGTGCCAGTTTTGGGTATGAAGTTTTCTAATCCATTGGAATTGAAGTTGTGTATCACCAACTATGCAGTCAAAAATGGATATGATTTATGGTATGAGAAAAGTGATCATGAAAGGTTATTGGTAAAATGTTGTAAAGGTAAGACAAATAAACAGGGTAAAGGTTGTCCTTTTAGATTATGGGCAACCTGGATGAGCAGTGAAAAATCATTCCAGATTAAATCTCTGAATGATATACATAATTGTGCAAGAGTGTTCAAATTTGGATCCATTGTTACCTATAAATGGATAGCAAAGCATTTCATGAATCATATACTTCAGAAACCAAAGATGAGTATAAGGAAGTTGAAAGCTAAAGTCAGCAAGAAATTTAATTTGATTGCAAGTGTTGGTCAATGCAGAAATGCAAGGAAGTATGCATTTCAGGAGATAGAGGGTAGTTTGAAAGAGCATTATGCAAAAACATGGAGCTATGGAGAAGAGATAAGAAGGACTAACCCTGGATCAACAGTGAAGATGGATGTAGATGTCATGCCTGATGGAACCACATATTTCTCAAAGTTTTATGTATGTTTCAAGGGATTGAAGGATGGATGGATTGAAGGTTGTAGGAGGGTAATTAGACTAGATGGTTGCTTCCTAAAGGGCATATGCAGAGGTCAGTTGCTCTCTGCTATAGGTAGAGATGCAAATAACCATATATATCCCATTGCTTGGGCTATTGTATCAGTGGAAAGTAAAGAAACATGGAAGTGGTTTATTGACCTTCTAATTGAGGACCTTGGAATGGGAGTTGGGCATGGACTAACCTTGATATCAGACCAACACAAAGTAATCAATTTTTATTATTTTCATCTTTATTTTAGCTTATGTTATGTTTTTGTTGTTTAAATTTTGTGTCTATTGCTAACAGGGATTACTTGAGGCTGTGAAGGAAAGGGTCCCAGCAGCAGAGCATAGGCAATGTGCTAGGCACATATATGCTAACTTCCTGAAAAGGTTTAAGGGCCAAGTGTTTAGAAAGCTTTTCTGGTATGCTGCTGCAACTACTACCCCTGCAAAATTTGAACAACACATGAATGAAATCAAGAAATTAGAGCCACTAGCTTATGACCATTTGATGGAAAGGGACCCTAAAACTTGGAGTAAAGCATTTTTTCAGACTGATAGGGCTTGTGATGCATATGAAAATGGTATCTCTGAGAGTTTCAACTCTGTGATTGAAGTTGCTAGGAAGAGACCACTAATCACCATGTTAGAAGAAATTCGAATTTATGTGATGGAGAGGCTTTATAGACAGAAGATTAAGGGGCAATCTTGGGATTTAACCATATGTCCTACCATTAGGCTGAAGTTGTCCAAGCTTAAGGATCTTCAAAGGTAAGTGCTTAAAACTGTTTGTCCTTATATATGTTTGTCTTTAAACATGTTTGTCCTTATATATGTTTGTCTTTAAACATGTGTATATGGATAGGTTTTGGAAAGTAATACCATCTGGTTATCAACAGTATGAAGTCAGACTTGGGTATGATGCATATGTTGCGGATATTGGTAGTAGGACATGTGCCTGCAGAACTTGGCAGTTAACAGGTTACCCTTGTGTACATGGGTATGCTTGCATTGCAAGCCTCAACAGGGATGTAGAGGAGTATGTGTCACCATGGTTTACCACATCAATGTACCTAAACTGTTACAGGAATACCATTAACCCACTAAATGGTAGTGACATGTGGCCTCATGTAGACTACATCAGCCCATTGCCCCCAAAAGGAGAAGGCTACCAGGAAGACCATCAACAAAAAGGAAAAGGGATCAGATTGAGAGGGAAAACCAAGGAAAAAAGCATTCAATCACAAAAAGAGGTAGTGTGATGAAATGCAACATATGTAGGGAAAGTGGGCATAATAGAACAACCTGTCCTCAGAAACCAATTGGGGAATCATCAAATGCAAGTTCAAAGAAAAAGAAATCCAAGAAAGCTGGTATGTTTGATATATTTATTTGTATATAACTTGTATAACTTAACATATTGGGCATAACTTAACTTTTCAAGTAATACAAAACAGATAAAGTGAAGGTTGTATTGGCACATGAAGTTGATATTGACAGTGACAGTGAAGTTGAAATAGAACCTCAAAGTGATGTTGACTCTTTTGATCTTGAATTTGAAGATGATGTGCAACCTGAAGTTGAAGATGGAGTAGAACTTGAAGTCCAAGATGGAGTGCAACATGAAGTTCAAGATGAAGTGCAAGCTGAAGTTGAACCTGAAAATCATCCTGAAGTTCATGATGCTAACCAAGTTGAAGTTCACCTTGCAGTTCAAGCTGAAGTTGAACCTGAAGTGCAAGTTCAAGTTGAAGATGCTAACCAAATTGTAGTTCAAGATCAAGTGGAAATACCAGCTTTTCAAGTTGTGGTGGGAAAGAGGGCAAGGAAACCTTCAGAAAGAATTACAAAACTGAAGATAAGAAAGATGTGGGAGGGAAAACAGGGCAGTAGTGATGACAATCCGTATGAGTTGGATTAACTTTTGGCTTATTGTACTGTTGTTAATGTTTTTGGCATCTTTGACTGACATCTTTTAACTTTGGAATCTTTTGGCACATCTTTTGAAAACTAGTTGGAATAGCTTAACTTTTTGCACATCTTTTGGGTGTAATGAATGTTTAACTATGTTATGTAAAACTTTTGACACATCTTTTGAAGTCAATGTTCCCTGGAATGTCTATAATATATTACCATCTTTTGCACATCTTTCTAATACCATTAGTATTATTTATAATTTATTACTAACTTTTAGAATATCAATTGTAATCACAATTCCTTTACAGTGTAATCATAATTCCATTACATTGTTTGAACAATTCAATTCCAATGATTCACAATAACATTACAAGTTTTGTACACTACCATTCCAATGATTCAATTACCATCTTTTGCACATCTTTCTAATACCATTTGTATTATTTATAATTTATTACCATCTTTTAGAATATCAACTGTAATCACAGTTCCTTTACAATGTAATCACAATTCCAGTGATTAACAATAACATTACAAGTTTTGTACACTACCATTCCAATGATTCAACTCCAATGATTCAATTACAATGATTCAATTCCATAACAATGTTTATTACTATCTTTTATACTACCAAGTTTAATACCCATTCCATTACAATGTACTATTCCATTCCAATGATAGAATATAACCTTTTTCATTGAAAACATCACAAAAGCATACATAATTTAGTCATACTACATCATAATACATAATTTAAAACAACATTTTGACATACAAGAGAAACAAGAAAATTAATGCAAGTCTATGGGTAAACAATTTCCAGTTGACTTTGTCAAGTTCTTGTTTATTCCTGTTCTTCTCTTCTTCAATCTTCATCCTGCATATGCTGATTTCATTCTCCAAGGTACAAATTTTCAAGGTAAGATTGCAGCTTTCTTCTGCTTTCATCCTGTAATGCCCTCTTCCATCTTTCCTCCCTTCATCCTCATCCAACCATTGCCAAAATTTACAGCTTGGACTTTTTCCATTCTTCAAGAAATTTATAAGAACATGTTAAATTGAAGGATGAAGAAGAAGTAAAAAATATGAATTACCAGTGAGTTTTGACAAACTCTGAATTTCCTTCCAGGATTGTCTGGGGTTCTTGATGTCTTCACACGAGATGGCAAATCGCAATCACATGGATGATCCGGTTGTAATTCGTCTTGTCGTTTGGAAGAAAAGGATGAGGAAGAAGATGCCATCGATCGATCTAGGGTTTTAATTAATAAGCTGTCGTATCTCACCCTCTTATAATGTAAACACTTCTCAATGCCACGTAGGTGATGAGTATTGTAGCGTACAAGCCACGTAGATGCCACATCACCCAAAACTTACAATAGCCGGTAATGTTGGTTATTTTTGAACGGTTGAAACAAATTAGTTGGGTAAATGAGTACAAAAAAAAACAATATTACCCATATGTGAACATTTGAAATACTTATTTACCTTAATAAGTCAAATTCCCCATTGCAAATGGTGGACCACTTAGCCTATTCATCGATTTTAGAATGAGAAAGTAATGACACAATATTTGATTGATTTTTAAGTATCGAAAAAAGATGAAGTTAGTGGTTGATGGGCCCATAAATCATGTTGCAATGTTTGCAAGAAGCAAGCTTACGCGAAACACTAATATATCTATGTGGCAAGTTGAAAGCCATCTGCAACTGCAAGAACTGATGCAGATGGTCTTACACCTATACCTTAGATCTATACCTACATGTCATATCCGCAATTACACCCCATCTCTACTCGGCTACCCCATCATCACACCTACCACTCCTCCGTACTCATCTTTATCCCAATCAAAAAATGTAAAGATATAAGGATAAATACTGTAATTTTATTATTACTAGAGGACCGTTTCTATAATTTTGCATTTCCTGTTATTATACCGGGACAATTTTTTTGTAATTTTTTTTCGATTTCATGCAAAATGTATTATGCAATTCTTCAAATTTATAACACATAAGGCATTTTTGTAATTCTTGCGTGGGAGAGCTATAGTTTGATGTGTCCTTGAGAATAATGCACAACCTTTACTAAATGTTATGTAGGTAATATGTTAAATGTTGTATTATTTGAAATAACAAAAATGAAAAATGAAAATTGATAGAAAATACACATTCCAACATGTTTTAGAATTTTTCTAAAATGAAGAATAAAAACTCAATTATTTTTAACCATACAGGTTTTTAAAATTTCTACTAAACACTAAAAATGAAAACCCCAATCTTTTTGTATAATCTTTTCCCACTAAATCGAAAACTGTTTTCTACAACTAAATGCACTTTAAGATATTCTTTTTTGGATGAAATTGCAATCAAGTTTTAGGTAATGGAAATTTCAAAGGGTAAATTTTAATAACAAGTGAGATACATGAAATTCACATATATACCCGCAAACTCGGTGGTTATTAACTAATCAAGTAACCAACGGGACATGATAAGGATATGATTTCATATTCAGGTATATGATTGAAATGACAAATATCCTTCTCGTTACCATCTCTATCACCATCCCTATCGAACAATCATATCACTTACATAAACATTAAACCGGATAACAATTTAGATGAATAATTAATGAAGACTTTTAAAATAATTTCAAATTTAGAAAAGCTTATTAAATACATCATATTTAACATGCCTGTCATATATGCATCAAAATAACAATTCAAAGGTCATATTGACATGCTCGACGAATCTAACAAAATGTAGTTGGTCACGAGTTGTATAAGTCAAATGTTAATGTAAATTATAGAAAACATGTAATGATGTATAAAGATACGAAACAAAATCAGAATGAATGAATGATAGTACTTGACAAAGACCGAAAAATAAGAACAATCTTTGTTCTTGAAGAATTGATTATCGCATATAAATCACATCAATTATCAAAACTCATTGTAATCAATATCTTAGATGATAAACAATCTATTTATAGTTGTCGAAAATAGGCCTGTAAACGAACCAAACGAACACGAACAAGGTCTTGTTCATGTTCGTTCGTTTAAGTTAGCCGAACAACAAACGAACACGAACGGATAAACGAACGAGATTTTCTTGTTCATGTTCGTTCGTTTAACAAATTACTTTGTTCATGTTCGTTCGTTTATGTTCGTGAACATGCTAAACGAACATAAACGGACAAACATAAACGAACATAGATAAAAAAAAACACAATTGAACATATATGAACATAAACGAACATATAATATTGCTATATAATAAAAAAAAATAATTGAATATAGATGAATATAAATAAACTTAAACAAACGTAAATAAACATCATAAACGAACGTTCACGAACATAAATGAACGAACGAGACCATTGTTCATGTTCGTTCATTTAACTAAACGAACGATAATTTTTGTTCATGTTCGTTCATTTATTAAATAAACGAACATAAACGAACTTGCCGCCGAACAGTTCACGAACGGTTCGCCGAACGTTTAGTTCGTTTACAGCCCTAGTCGAAAACCTTAATTGGGAACTCATAGCGTATCAAGTTTAGGAAACTATTAAAATTATTAAAAGGAACTAAAACAATATCCTTAAAATGCCTCTAAACATCACATTGTATTCGACTAAAAGAATATTATATTTAAGGTATAATCTCTCTATAAATTTCAAAATAGTTTTAAGAATGATTAAATCAGATCTTAAGCTTGTAAACTGTAATAGTGATGGGTGATGACAGATATCATTAATTGATATTAAATTCTGAATATACTTTTGCATTAAACCTTTTCCACAAAATTATCTCAAAGAACAAGGAATAAACATGTTTTAAGAAACAGTCAGCTGGCAGCTCCTTTCTTTTCCTTTTCATGGGCTCGGCCCACTACATTCAACAAAAAATAAAACAGGCCTACATCACGAATTGACCAAACGTTGAAAAACTTAGAATCTAATCCTTTTTTTGACCTGAAATTTGTCAATAACAAATTCATCATGTAGTCGGGTTCTTGGTCTAATTAGGCTACGATAATCACATAAGGGATAATCAGTTTAGATCTAAAGCCAGGATTCATACCTTAAAAATAACAAAAAAATCGCAGAAAGCTTTACTCCTTTCCAAAATAGAGGGTACTTTCTAAAAGAATTTAGGGATGGGAATATTGGGGGGCAAGGGCAATGGACCTCTTGAGGCCCTGAGAGCCCAAAAAAGCCTTATATCTAAATAATTTTATCAATAAAATATGAATATTAAGCATATAGTAATCTTATAGTAAAATTTGTATTATATTTCAATTATTAATGAAATATATAATATTAAATGAAATAAACATACGTAAAAGGGACGAACTAGATAAAAAATGATTTCAGAGGAAAACAGAAAAAAGAAGGAAGCGACTAGCGAGCGTAACAAAGAATTACGGGGGCATGGCTACGAGGGAGGCTTTTCTTCACCTTTATTTATTTATTTTTATTTTTTAATTTAAGAAATCAAACGATGAACACGATGATAAAATGTTAAATATATATCACTAATCAAATGTTTCTTGAGAGAATTAAGAGTGAAACTTCAAAACAGTTAAAAATGATCTAAAATCTTCTATTTACACTAAAACAAAGTTGCAACTAGACTACAAGTTCAAATACGAATATGATCCGAGTCCCTTAAAGTACAGAACGTGTGTAATATAGTTTGTCACGTTTAATATTGAAGACTGTATAACAGACTAACGACATCAGACAAATAAAATAAAAACACGATTGTGTTATTTGACAACCTGCACATTTAGATACAAATTAAATAAAAAATTAAATTAATAAAATTAAATAAAACTCACACTAATAAAACTACAATAACAAACTTAAATAAAATTTACATTTGGTTTTTCCTTTTTTCATGGATTTTCCTTTTCATTGCTAATGTCATGTCGAGGTCCTTTAGTGCAACATCATCGGTGGACATCTTCAAGATTTGCATTTTTTTTTCATGTGTGGCTTCCCTTTTGAGTTCTATTATTATGCTTTTTGCAATTGAAGATGTTCTCAAACTTTTCCTGGCTTCCCTTTTTCTAATTGCTTTTACTTTTGCATCCCTTTATCATTCCAATCGGTGGTTGAATGGGGTCTTACAATGTAATCTCTTTCACATCATTGTTGAGGTTGATTGATGTACGAGAGTTTGCCGTTTGCGTGTATTCGTTTGATTTAGATGTTTTGGACCATTTGTTGGATTTTGTTGATTGTGTAATACATTCACCTTAAGTGCCATTTTGGAACCATTTTGAGAACTTATCATGCTTTGTGATAGGTAAATGCTTTACAATCATTGTTGTTCCCATATCGTTGAAGAACAGAAATCATTTCTTTCACTTTTACACATATTGCTATGACTATTTAAGTTCTCAAGTCGCGCCATTTGGCAGCAAAGGCATCGTTATTCCGATAAACACGCTTCCCATTTGCTCGTGAAATCTAAAATCTCTCCCAAAAACTTTTGGCAAATTGGTGGTTCCGGGTAAGGTTATCTTTGGAGATGGATATCCAAGCATGAGCTATTAGGTCTTCCTCGACTTCAGATCAACTCCTAGGACCTTTTCGTGTAGTCACCATTTTTCTTTAGAAGCTTTATGTTGTTCTAGTGGTTGTGTTTCGACAACCATATCTGGTGCCGATTCATGCCCGTGTTGTGGTTGACAAACTTGAATTTTTGTTAGTGAATTTTTTTTTGTTGAAATTGTTGTTGGAAAAGGTTTTTGTCGAGATACGAGGATTGTTGAGGTGTTGTGTTTAGAGCGAACATACCATTTTGGTTTAGGTTTAGGTGGTGGTGTGTTTGAGTAAAAAAAATAGATGAGAAAGAATAAGGTGTGAAGAGTATAAAATGAAAGATTGTAGTGTGGAAGTATTATTGGCAGTAATTAAGTATTTCTAAAGAAAATATAAAATAAGTTCATTTTTTAAATATACAATGATCATTTTTTTGACTGTTCTGTTGTGAGGCATGAGGGATGGCTAGGACCATAACAATAAACCACACAAGAGGGGCTGTTTGCACGTCGTGCCCCCTTACTAGTTCCAAAATAAGGGTACTTTTACAAGATTCTAGGGTTGGGGATGAGAGTAAGTTCAACCTTCTTTTAATTTCCGAAGGCAAGGACAATAGTTTTCGAGGGCAGGAGATTGGATTCAGCCATATAGTAACATTTGTATTATATTTCAATTATTAGTGTAATATATAATGTTAAATGAGATAAACGTACGTAAAAAGAGTGAACCAGGTAAAAAAGAAAAAAAAGGATTTTGGCGAAAAGAAGGACAAGGAAACGAGAATAACAAGGAATATTTGGTTTAGGGGCGTGTAACATCCGGATTCCCAGGTATATTATTTTATTCTTTTATTTTGGAGTTTGTGGAGGGACTCGGCGAGTTGGTGCTTAGACTCGCCGAGTAGGGTCGCAGATTCTCATCCGGGTTCATGAGTGGACTCGGCGAGTCCACGCTGTTTAATGAAACCCTAATTTACAGGGTTGGGGACCTATTTAAAGGCCCTTAGGGACGTCATTTGCGGCTACCAAACCCCAGAGAGAAACCCTAAAAGAGCTAGAGCGATTGTGAGAGGAAAGGAGCCATTTCTTGATTTTTGTGGTTGATTCTTGCAAGAAGGAGGTGTTTCCAGCTTAGAGGGGACCAAGGAGGTGGTGCATCTGTGGATTTTGAGCTAAAGACTTCATCTTTGAGGTACTATATTGCCCATTTATCTGTTTTGTTGGAGGAATCCATAGATGTAGGGTTTTCATGTCCTTTAATGGAAGAAATTGTGAGAATATGGCCCCTATTCGCTTTGAGACTTCGGATCTGGACCCATAGTTGTCTAAAGAGCTTATCTCAGTTTGCTTTATGTTGAGCTATAGAGGTGTTGAGCTTAGGATGTTATTTTTGGGGCTAAATCACCAAAAGAAACCTTCTAGACGTCCCATGAGTGTCAAGATTCGAGCTTTACGTGTTTATCAGGCTTGGGAAGGTCAGATCTATGGATCAAAGGAACAGATCTGAACTCAGGACGTCAATTGAGTTTGTGCATGGCATGGACTCGCCGAGTCCAAGGGCAGACTCGGCGAGTAGGGCTAGGGTTTCCCGCAAATCACTCAGTGAGTAGACTTGCCGAGTTAGAGGAATAACTCAGTGAGTCAGAGAGGGATTAGAGGACTGGGGTTCAAGGCGGAACTCGCCGAGTTGATCTTGAGACTCAGCGAGTTGAGTCGGGGTGGCCCCGCGATTCATGCCAGGTGTGACTCGTCGAGCAAGGGGATGGACTCGACATGCCAAGCGAGACTAGAGAATTAGTGGACACGTGTAGACTTGCCGAGTCAGGTCAAAGTTTGACCGTTGACTTTGTGGACTTTTAAGGATTAGTCAACAATGGGATCTTTGAGTCAAGAAAGGGATAAAATGGTCTTTTACCCATTTGAGGATGCTGAGAGAGGGTTGGGTCTAGTCTTGAGAGTTATATTTATGAGCGTATCTTATTTTATGTGATTAGGCGGAGGCTAGACTATACTGCTACCGAGTCAGGTATTTACCGAGACATCTGCGGTTAATCTTCTCACTATACTTTACCTTGAGTGGTAATTAGAATTATGTGATAGAGTTATTGTATGCTACTTATGTGTTGTGTTGCACTGCATTATTTCTATGTGGCTTATACCATGTGTATATCAGAGTATATCAGAGATAGAACCGGAAGGTTCACAGAGCTAGGACCAGAGGGTCCACAGAGTTAGGACCCAAGGGCCCATAGAGTTATAGCCTCGAGTGGCTAGTATGTGTTATGTATGGTATTTTGGGGAACTCACTAAGCTTTATGCTTATAGTGTTATGTGTTATGTTTCAGGTACCAGTGATGATCGCGGGAAGGCGCCGACATGATTCATATACACTCATGGGATTTTATGTATTTTGATCTTGGGAAATATTTTGTGAAACGAAGATATGATACAATGAGATCTTGTTAATAAATGTGTTTTAAAATGCGAAAAATTATCTTAAATTTTACGGTGTTACAGGGCGGCACAAAAGGGAGGCATTTCCCATCCTATTTGGCCTTATTGCACAATTAAAGAAAGGGGTCAGCTAAAAAGGCACCTCAATTTTCCATTTAGACACCCTATTTGATTTTTAAGGTTTTTTTATTGGTTGAATTTGTATTGTTTTTTGAAAAAGTAAATTATAAATAGTTTATTATAGGTTGACTTTTATTAAAGTGTTAATAGGGTGTCTAAGGGGTGTCAATTTAGCAACACTGGTGGTTGTCGACGCCAACAAAATAAATACCCTAAATATTACACACTAAAATAGTGTATAGTGGTAAAGGGATCGTATCCACATAGATTGGTTCAATTTAAATCTCTATGTAAATCACCTGTTCAACTACTTGTAAAACAAAAATAAAAACAAAAGAGGGGGGGGGGGGGTTAGTTCTTTTTTATTGGTTAACAAAGTTAAAACTAGATAGTATGTAAATATGACAAGTAAACAAGCAAAAGATTTGATTAAATTCAATGAAGTGAAATTGGTTGATTTTGGGTACACCACGTGGATGACATTGTTGACTTATCATTAGACTTAATTGAATAACACTTGTGAATTGGTTGAACTTGGCTATAGCAATTCATAAGCACAAATTACCTCAACTCTTTTTAGATATTAAAATGCTAGAGGAGCTCTTAACACATTTCCTTAATTAAAGTCACAAAATCAATGAAGCATAAAATCTTGTGAAAATCAATTAGCTTTAAGTTATAAGAGTTACCAAGTCCAAAAGATAATCAAATGCTTACGTTATCATTATGAAGGAAACATTTCCATGCTCTAAATGAAATGAAAACAAACATATAAACCATTTGTTGCTTACTAAATTGAGATTCCATTAGTAGTCAACAAAAACAAGCGTTCATTCATCCAAGCTCATGATCAAAGATAAATAGACACAACAAGATGTTTAACTAGAAAACATTTCCATAAACTTCAAACACAAGATAATAATAAGTCTTCAAAGCAATTAATCATCCATGGGTTAAACCCTAATCAACCAAATGAAAGTTTAGCCAAGCATGGCCAAAGTAAAAGAAATGCAATATAGTTTAGTGGTACCAAACATTGTTCTAGTTGCAAGATGGAAAGAAATTACACTAATCTTCCAAAAATCTTCAAATCTTCCACAGCCTTCTTGATAGAGAATTGTGTGTGTTCCTCAAGTGATTCCCTCCGATAATACCTCTAATCTCCAGCAAAAAGGAGTTGGTTTCCGAATTCAAAAAGGTGCCAAAAGCCCCTCACCAACCTTCCACAAATAGAGTTAACAAGTCAAAACTAGGGATTAACTCAGCACAATTCACGCGGACCGTGTATGGGTCCACGCGGACCGCGTGGGTCTCGCTGATTGTGGGACTTGGGCCATTTAAAATACAACCTAGCCCAATCTCCTCATTCAAACTTCAGCCCACATGAAGAACTCTTTAGAGCCCATTTGTGCCATTCCAAAGCCTCTAATGATTGATCCAATGCTCCTTCAATCCTACGTAGCTCGATTCCGCGTCGCTTCATCATCATTATTGGTCAAAAATTAAGTCCAAATTGATTTCTTGTTTATGCAAGCACCAAGCTTAATCGCACCACTTCAAATCCACAAGCAAACCGCAAGTGTCCATAAGTCCCGCACTCCTTCCACGCCTCCAATGACAAATAGTCTTCGATAATTCCTGCAAGTAAGCTTAAAAGACCACGAGCCAAAAGGGTGACAAATCCCCAAATGCAAATATCACTGGACGTTTTGGTTCTCATGAGTGCACATTTGTGGAAAAAGAACGAAGCAAAGTCCGGGATTGGCGGGTTTGCACGCCGCGTCATACACCAAAGGAAGAGGAGCTCAGTTTTGGTGACCTGACCAGCTTCTTTACGGGCAAAAACTATACACACCAAGATGCGATGGGCAATGTGGAGGCACGGGTGAATGATGGAGGTTGCTTTATCCCGACCGGCACACGAAAAGATACCCCCGGTGATTTGCGTCCAAAAGGTCTTATGATTGAACTCAGCATGTAAGATGTCAAAAACTGTGGATGTGTTTGAAGAAGGCAAGCCCAAGATGTCGTTTATTGTTGCAAAATCGATGTACCTTTGGTCCCCTAAAAGTTGGAATGCTTCTTTTGTTTTTTCGCTATCGTACACGCAATCAACAAGAAACTCTCTAGTGGGGAGCTCGTAAGTGTGTGCCATGAGGTTGAGAAGGTTTTCCCACCCAATGTTACGGAACATTTGGGTGACCCCTTCAAGAACCCCTAATGATATAAGCGTGGGTTTGCACACAAATTTGGTGGATGCAACTTTTCTAGGCAAGCTCTTTATGTAATTTTTGGACGCCCTGTCATCTCGAAATCTTGGAATGTCGGGTGCATCGTTTTGAGTTTTGGCGGAGGCCTTGCCTCGGGCGGCAGCCGGGTGCTTCCTAGATGTGGACATGGTCTACCTGCACGAAAAATAACCGCTACACGAACCACAATCTCAACAAACGATATCTCAATCCAAATCACCAACCGACTCCCTATGGACTTCTAATACAGTTTAACAATCAAAGCAAGACATAATTCCTAAACTCATTTGATGCAATAGCATATGAAATGTTGTTCAGAGACATACATATTGATCAATTAAAATAAAGGAAAGAAAGTACCCGCTTTTATTGAAAGTTCAAAATTTGCGCGTGAAAATTCAGGATTTGAAAATCTTACAACTCTGCACCCCAAGCTTTAAGGTTTGTTCAATATCCTGTGAAAAGAAATTTACCGCGAAAACCCAACAAATCCGGCAATGGCTTGAAATTCCGACGAGCTTTAGGAGCTATTTTTGGTGGGGTTTGTAGCCTTGTCCAAGAGAGGTGTCCGGAGTTGGCTGGAAAACGGCCGGAAAGTGGTGGTGGTGCCCCGAGCTACAACAACAGATCAGACCGGTTTTTAGTGGGGTTTCTAGGGCTCGGAAATTGGTGAAGAATGGCGGTGGTCTCGCGGAATTTTGACCGACGGTTTGATAGGAAACTGAGTTTTAGTGTTGGAGAAGGAGGTGCTCTAATGGAGGTTAAGGGGAGAAGAAGGGAGAAGAAGAAGGGTAGAAGGGTCGGCTGGTGGTGTTTAGCAATAAAAAATCACGGTCAAACCTGGTCAAAAGCGAGTCAACGCTGGTCAACAACACACGCGGACGCGGACACGCGTACACGTGGTCTGCGTGAATAACCCTGAAATTCTTCTGTTTTCCTTCATCGCATGCGGACAAGTTCGAAGAGGCATACGCGGTCCGATTTAATAAACACACAGACGGGATTGCGATTACATGTGGTCCGCGTGAATAGACCTAAAACTCTTCTATTTTCTGATGATGGACGTGGACAACTGAGGAGACCACACGCGGACCATTTGTTTATTAACGCGGAGAGGATCTGGAGTACACGCGGTCCGCGTGAATTCTGTTGCCATTTTTCTTAATTTTTGCTCTTTGACCAATATGAACACCGAGTCTTCAAATCCAACATTCTTTTACCGCAAGAAGGAAGGAGAAGAGATGTTGAATTCAAAAATGGTCTATCTACGACATTTATTCGGAACTAGAAAAGATGAAAACTTTAGGTTTTCCAAAAATGCCACTCTTTAACGTCATTGGCGAGACGTGCTTCCCTTTTGATTTCAGTACACCGGGGCATCCAATTGGATGACATCTAGGACATTTGCGTTAAAACCTTCATAAAAAGGTTTCAAACGATGATCATTGACTTTAAAGATTTGCCCCGTTTCTTCACTTTGGGTCTCAACCGCTTCATGCTCAAAGACTTTTAGCACAACAAACGGACCTATCCATCTTGACCTCAACTTTCTAGGAAATAATTTCAATTGCGAATGGTAAAGCAAAACCGTATGTCTCGGTTCAAAATTCTTCCGGGTGATGGACTTGTCGTGGAAGAGCTTCGTTTTTTCCTTGTATATTCTCGAGTTTTCATAAGAGTCGTTTCTTAATTCTTCTAACTCTTGAAGTTGAAGCTTTCTATGTCTTCCCGCCTCATCAATATTGAAATTGCATTGCTTGACCGCCCAAAATGCATGGTGCTCTAACTCGACGGGAAGATGACACGTCTTCCCAAAAACCAATCTAAATGGAGACATGCCTATCAAGGTTTTGTAAGCAGTCCGGTAGGCCCATAAGGCATCATCAAGCCTTAAACTCCAATTCTTTCTTGTTGGATTCACTGTTTTCCCAAGAATACTCTTCACTTCACGATTCGAAACCTCCGCTTGACCGTTTGTTTGAGGGTGGTAGGCGGTAGAGACACGATGAGTCACATTGCACTTTCTCAACAAAGCCTCCATCATATTGTTGTAGAAATGCGTCCCTCGATCACTGATCAATTCCCTAGGCATACCAAATCTCACAAAGACATTAGATTTTAAAAAAGTCGATAACAGTTTTGGCATCGTCCGATCTTGTGCCTTTGGCCTCAACCTACTTAGATACATAGTCAACCGCGAGTAAGATGTAAATGTTACCAAGCAAAACGGGAAATGGGCTGATGAAATCAATCCCCCATACGTCGAAAATTTCACAAATAAGGATTGGATTTTGTGGTATTTGATTTTTTTGCGAAATGTTTCCCGTCCTTTGGCACCGTTCACAACTTTTACAAAACATATAACAATCGCGTGACATGGTTGGCCAAAATAGTCCACATTCAAGGACCTTTCTCAAGGTCCGACTAGGTCCGATGTGTCCCCCACAAGCAAATTCATGACAAAATTGCAAAATGGATTGATGTTCTTGTTGGGGCACACATCGCCTAATAATTTGATCGGGATAACAAATAAGGTTCATCGCACACATAGTATTTTGCATCACTTCTCAGTTTATCTTTTTGAGCTCGTGTGAATGTGTCGGGATACCTTTTCGTGACCAAAAAGTTAACGATATCGGCATACCAAAGAGTAGATTGAGTAAGGGAAAAGAGATGCTCATCCGGAAACTCGTCCCACAAAGGGAGAGGAGTTTCATTTGAAGTGATCCGGCTTAGGTGATCGACAACAAGATTCTCACATCCACTCTTGTCCCCGATTTCCAAATCAAATTCTTGTAACAATAAAATCCACCAGATGAGTCTAGGCTTTGCATATTTCTTCGTCATCAAGTGCTTAAGAGCGGCGTGATCCGAATACACAATGACCTTGGTACCAAGTAGATATTGTCTAAATTTCTCCAAGGCGAACACTATGGCCAATAGCTCCTTCTCCGTTATAGTATAGTGGTAAGTATTCCCGCCTGTCAAGCGGGTGACCCGGGTTCGATCCCCGGCAATGACGCGAAAATTTGGTGGTTATCGAGACCAACAAAATAAATACCCTAAATATTACACACTAAAATAGTGTATAGTGGTAAAGGGATCGTATCCACATAAAACAAAAATAAAAGCAAAAGAGGGGGGGGGGTGTTAGTTCTTTTTGATTGGTTAACAAAGTTAAAACTAGCTAGAATGTAAATATGACAAGTAAACAAATAAAAGATTTGATTAAATTCAATGAAGTGAAATTGGTTGATTTTGGGTACACCACATGGATGACATTGTTAACTTATCTTTAGACTTAATGGAATAACACTTGTGAATTGGTTTAACTTGGCTATAGCAATTCATAAGCACAAATTACCTCAACTCTTCTTAGATATTAAAATGCTAGAGGAACTCTTAATACATTTCCTTAATTAAAGTCACAAAATCAATGAAGCATAAAATCTTGTGAAAATCAATTAGCTTTAAGTTATAAGAGTTACCAAGTCCAAAAGATAATCAAATGCTTACCTTATCATTATGGAGGAAACATTTCCATGCTCTAAATGAAATGAAAACAAACATATAAACCATTTGTTGCTTACTAATTTGAGATTCCATTACTTAACCAAAACATTAGTCAACAAAAACAAGCGTTCATTCATCCAAGCTCATGATCAAAGATAAATAGACACAACAAGATGTTTAACTAGAAAACATTTCCATAAACTTCAAACACAAGATAATAATAAGTCTTCAAAGCAATTAATCATCCATGGGTTAAACCCTAATCAACCAAATGAAAGTTTAGCCAAGCATGGCCAAAGTAAAAGAAATGCAATCTAGTTTAGTGGTACCAAACATTGTTCTAGTTGCAAGATGGAAAGAAATTACACTAATCTTCCAAAAATCTTCAAATCTTCCAAAGCCTTCTTGAGAGAGAATTGTGTGTGTTCTTCAAGTGATTCCCTCCAACAATACTTCCAATCTCCAGCAAAAAGGAGTTGGTTCCAAAGCCTTCTTGAGAGAGAATTGTGTGTGTTCTTCAAGTGATTCCCTCCAATAATACCTCCAATCTCCAACAAAAAGGAGTTGGTTTCCGGATTCAAAAAGGTGCCAAAAGCCACCCACCAACCTTCCACAAATAGAGTCAACAAATCAAAACTCGGGATCAACTCAACACAATTCACGCGGACCACATGGATCTCGCTGATTGTGGGACTTAGGCCATTTAAAATACAACCTAGCCCAATCTTCTCATTCACACTTCAGCCCACATGCAAAACTCTTTAGATCCCATTTGTGCCATTCCAAAGCCTCTAATGATTGATCCAATGCTCCTTCAATCCTCCGTAGCTCGATTCCGCGTCGCCTCATCATCATTATCACTCAAAAATTAAGTCTAAATTGATTTCTTGTTTATGCAAGCACGAAGCTCAATCGCACCACTTCAAATCCACAAGCAAATTGCAAGTCTCCATAAGTCTCGCACTCCTTCCATGCCTCCAATGACAAACAGTCTTCGATAATTCTTGCAAGTAAGCTCAAAAGACTAGAAAGTACCCGGTAAAAGAGAAAAATAACAAAAAGAGAAAATATGAATGAAGATTAACTAAAATGTGGTGGTTTTAACTAAAAATAAACTACGGAAAGAAGTAATAAAATGAAGCTATCAAACACTCTTAAAGAAATCGCATGATAAACACGAAGATATAACATTAAATATATTTCACTAGTCAAATGTGTTTGAGAGAATTATAGCGGGAAACTTCCAAACCATTTACAAATGATCCAAAACCTTCTATTCATAGAAAAACAAAATTGATCGATTAGGCTCGGCGATGTGGGTTCAACACCCTCCCCGACAACGCCTACGTGGCTCGACAAACACTGGGCCTTCTCCTCGGTACCGAGGTCGGCATCTGAACTCGGCGGGAAGATACCAAGTTTCTCTCCACCTTCTCTTCTCTAGCCGTCTCTCTTCTCCCTCTTTTCTCCTACACTCGACAGCCACTCCCTTCTAATGGAAAAAAGTAATCCGACAACACCAAGAGCTGAGGTGGAGCTTGATACGATTCCCCTCGGTCTTAGTGTACCGCTCAGTCTTAGTGTACGGTTTCAAATAAGAAAGTGACTAGTGTCCCCTAAAGTACAGAACATATGCAAAGAGCCTATCATATTCGTTCATTACTACCAATAAAAACAAGACATGTTATTCGACAGCCTATATTTATTTTTTTAACCGATAAAAAAATAAACATTAAATGAAAGTATTCTATCTCTAAAAGCACTAAAGTAGCCAAACTTCAACTATGTGTCACTAGATCTCTATCTTGTGAATGACTTAGACAAAAGTTCATGTTCACCGAAACTTTAAATAGGTAAAGTGATACAATTTTTTGATTTAACATCACACCTTTTTAGTTTTGAGAACAATGACTTAGTCAGGTGATAATAGTCGATTAAATTATATGATTATTTGGACTTTCAATTCTTATTGGCGTTTAGTTGGAATGATTGAGAGGCAGGGGCTTTAAATTTTTAATATATAAATTCACAAACCTATTTTCTTGAATTTTTTTTCTTTTTTAGATTTGATACAAAGAGAACTAATGGCTAAAATAAATAGTAACAATGATTAATAATTACAGATAGTGATGCACCAATCAAAGGTAGCATATTGGAAAAATTGCATTATACCGAAAATTTCCACTGCCCAAAAAATAATACTAATAACATCAAATCCAAAATTATATATATTGTATATGTATATAAAAGGAAATTCGACAGCTTACCTCTTGATTGTTGCTTTGGTTCTTGATGACAACCACTCCCCTACTGTTACATGAAAATGATATTCCAACAAGAAGAAATTAGATCCTATATCTGCCATTTTAGCTAAATTACATCTTTACCATTTATTAACTTTATGTCTTAGAAAATCATTTGATTTTGATTTCTTAACTTGTCAAAAATCAAAATTTTATCTTTTTTTTTTAAAATGCATCATCATCAATTACTGCATGAATTCATACAGACAAACAAATCTGATATTGTATAATTGTATTATGTGACAAATTTAAAACATGTATATTAAGTTTTTATAAAAATAAATATTCCATATAATGACTTTTCAATCCTTATATAATACATATTATAAATTTATCGTTAACTGATAATCTGTTTAATATTTTACTTTTTATAAAAATAATCAGTTGTTCACTTGTTTAAAAGAGTCAAATAGATTATTATAACTTAGAAATTACATTTCCTCTATAGTGTTTGAGCTAAAAGTTGTTATATAAATGATGCATGATCACATTTATATTGGCAATCACAAAAGTTTACCCATGACTAAGAATTAAGAAATATAACATTTTTCTTCATCAACACCGACAAATCTAAATAGTCATGTTTTATAATTTGTGTTCCACCTAATAAAATCATATAATGTATTAAATTTTATTATTTTAACCTGAAAAGAGAGCTAAATCTTAATAAAGATCCCTTTAAAGATTGATTGGAAATTGACATTTTTGTCCCTCTTGCTCTAAATTCTTGAAACAGTACTGATATGTCATAATAGTTGTTTGTTGCTTATACCATCTGCTTGAGACATGACTTATTAAACATCATATTAAAAAAACATATCTTCACCAATAAGTCAAATTATTGAAAAACTGTCCTTATTAGCAAACATTGTTTCTATTGTAATTAAACATTAAAAAATATATCTTCACCAATAAGTGAAATTATTCATATTAACTCAAATTTAAGGTAACTCTTTCCAAATTTGAAGTTTCTTACGTTTTCACCTTATAGATATTAATTATGTACTCTTATTCCGAGTATATATATATATATATATATATATATATATGCTGAAAACACGAGTATAAATCTTTTAGAAATGAAGGGCAAATTTGGCAATTTAAAATGAATAAGAGCACTTGAGATAACATTATGCATCCTTGGCATCTTCCTCACATGCACAACTCATAATATCTTTATTTTTATTTTTCTAAATTACAATTAAAATAGAAGAAACACACTCACATGCAATTATTAATTTCTTCTCTCTCTAAAATTATTATTTTTTGTAATTTTCAACAACAAAAAACTAATAATAATAATCAAAGTCCCCATCAAGACCCTCCTTTGCTTATCCTACAAAACCCCATCTCCAATATCCTTCTTCTCATTCCAAGTTCTTCAATCCTACTTATTATTATTTTTTTTTACACTTAATTTTTCAAGAAAATGAGAGAAATCCTTCATATTCAAGCCGGGCAATGCGGAAACCAGATCGGTGCAAAATTTTGGGAGGTGGTTTGTGATGAACATGGAATCGACGCGAGCGGGAAGTACTACGGAAACAGTCATGTCCAATTAGAGAGAGTGAATGTGTACTACAACGAGGCCAGTGGTGGTCGATATGTCCCAAGAGCTGTATTGGTCGATCTTGAGCCCGGTACCATGGACAGTCTTCGTGCCGGACCTTACGGCAAAATTTTCCGCCCCGATAACTTTATCTTCGGCCAAAATGGTGCTGGAAACAATTGGGCCAAGGGACATTACACCGAAGGTGCCGAATTAGTTGATGCGGTTCTTGATGTTGTTCGTAAGGAAGCTGAGAACTGCGACTGCTTACAAGGTATAGATACTTATCACAAAAATAAATCTGTTTGAATGTGAATAAATAATAAATTTAAATTTATTATATATGTGACAGGATTTCAAGTATGTCACTCGCTTGGAGGTGGTACTGGATCCGGTATGGGTACTTTATTGATATCAAAGATCCGGGAGGAATATCCAGATAGGATGATGTTGACATTTTCAGTGTTTCCATCACCGAAGGTGTCAGACACGGTGGTTGAGCCCTACAACGCCACCTTGTCTGTCCATCAGTTGGTCGAAAACGCTGACGAATGTATGGTGCTTGATAACGAAGCCTTGTATGATATATGTTTCCGAACCCTAAAGCTCACAAACCCAAGTTGTAAGTCTTCTAAGAAATATTTCATTTATTTTCAGCTGCAGACTTGTAACAAAATGTAGCTTATTTACAACTACTTAATGCAGTTGGGGACTTGAACCACTTGATATCAACTACCATGAGTGGGGTCACTTGTTGCCTCCGTTTCCCCGGTCAACTCAACTCCGATCTCCGGAAGCTCGCCGTGAATCTGATTCCATTCCCACGTCTCCACTTCTTCATGGTCGGATTTGCACCGTTGACCTCCCGTGGATCACAGCAATACCGTGCCCTAACCATCCCGGAGCTCACCCAACAGATGTGGGATTCCAAGAACATGATGTGCGCCGCCGACCCCCGTCACGGCCGCTACCTCACCGCCTCCGCCATGTTCCGGGGCAAAATGTCCACCAAAGAAGTCGACGAGCAAATGATCAATGTACAGAACAAAAACTCATCTTATTTCGTTGAATGGATCCCTAACAATGTGAAATCGAGCGTCTGTGACATCCCTCCAACGGGGCTGGCGATGTCGTCGACTTTTATGGGGAATTCGACATCTATTCAGGAGATGTTCCGGCGAGTTTCCGAACAGTTCACTGTAATGTTTAGGAGGAAGGCTTTCTTGCATTGGTACACAAGTGAGGGGATGGATGAGATGGAATTCACGGAGGCGGAGAGCAACATGAATGATTTGGTGTCGGAGTATCAGCAGTATCAGGATGCGGTGGCCGACGACGATGTTGAGGATGATGGGTATGGGGAAGAAGAAGAAGAAGAAAATTAAGTATGAATATTATTTTATTTTATTTTGGGGTATGGTGAGTATTCGAAATGATTTTTATATCGTGTGGTATTTTGGGGTCTATATGAGTGTATTGTGAATAAAATATTGAGTTATTGGCTTTTAAAGTTATAATAATTGTTATAAATAATTTATTGTTAGAAACTTAGAATACAAAAAACATCAAGATCAAAAAATAAGAAACACAAAACTTTTATCATATTCGCCAATATAGCCATGGTCCATGGAATGAAGATTTATAGGGCAAAACTGAATATATGTAGCTGTAAATGCAAACAAAGCTTTAGGGGGTCCAAACACAAGAAACAAGCTATCAAAGGAGATTCATGAGATTGATCACTTCAAATGAGTTTATGAGTTTTATAGAACTTACTATTATTTGAAATATTTTTTAATAATTAAACACAATTTATTTTGTTTTTTCTATTAACTAGTTATTATCTATTAATCTTGACCAATTATTTGAAAAATTAGTTTATAGCTGAAATTCTAGCATCTTGCTAGTTTGTTTAATGTTATTTCCACCGTTCTAAAAAATAATAATTAATAAGTTACCTGATAATAATGGCATTCATTAATATTTTAGTTGTGAAATAAAGAATAACGTAAAATGATATTTAAATGAAGATTTAATATTATAAGACAAATATGAATGATATTTTATAAAATTAAAAAACTAAATAATAATTCTTCAATTATTCATGTTTAAATAAAATTTAATATATCAAATATCATATTAACAAAATTATTATAAATTTCTTGCAAATATGATTGATAACTCTAAAAAGTTCTATGTCTTTGCCATTGTTCCAAAAGCTTAGATTTGCCACCAAACTTTGATGAGATGCTACTTTAAATTATATATTTATATAAAAATGACTAAAAGTAAAAAGAAAATCATTAGTTATATACAAACTTGCCATCATATATCACACCTTACAAACGATATGGTTCGCTATAATTCATAAAAACTTAAAATTTGACATTGCCACTAAATCACATCTTACGTTATTTAGAACCATTATATATATATATATATATATATATATATATATATATATATATATATATATATATATATATATATATATATATATAGACACACACAGAGAGAGAACTCAATGATTTATAAAAACCCACAAACTTTTTTGTATGTTTTTTTAGAAAAAAACGTTGAGAGGACTTAATTGTTGCTGATTATTTAAGCATTTTTGAAAAAAAAAATTAAAATAAAAAGACTTTTTAAAAAAATATGCATATATACAAATGTTTCTCTGCATATTTTGCACATCAAAAGTTTTCCTGTATGCATATTTTTGAAAAAGTCATTAAAAAAAACTCAACCAATTAAGCTTTTAATGATTGGTAAAAAGATATCGAATATAGTTTTGAAAAAAATTATTAGGTTTTCATGAATTTCTAAGTTCTCAATAATATATATATATATATATATATATATATATATATATATATATATATATATATATATATATATATATATATATATATATAAATGTCTAAAAATTAACATAATAAATCAAAATGATGGGATCTTGTTGTTTGTAATTTTAGGTAGTGGTATGTAGTTTTGTGTATGGTGTTGGTCATAATATCAATATGAAGGTGAAGGCCAAAACAGAGTCAACTGATGGTAGTCAACACTTTTTTGAAAAACTAGTGGCTCTTCCATGGCAACTAGATGCACAAAGTGCTGTGTAGGGGTGTCAATTTATGACACGACACGATAAAAATACACGAAACGAAATGAAATCAGGACGGAATCAAAATTTGAATTCGTGTTCGTGTCGTGTTCGTGTCAAGATTAAAAAACACGATGCCGTGTTCGTGTTCATAAATCGACACGAAATTGACACGATTTAGCATATGGTTGTCGTGTTTGTCGTTTTTGTCGTGTTATATATCTTGAAATATGAATGAAATACACTAACATTTATGTAATATTATCTTTGTCGTGTCGTGTCGTGTTATCGTGTTTTAATTGGTTCGTTTTCGTGTTAATGAAAAAAACACGACATCGTGTCGTTTCGTGTTCGTATCATCCAAAACCTGGTCGTGTCGTGTCAGACAAAAACACGACACGACTGCCCAATTTGACAACCCTAGTGCTGTGAGAAACTCAAGAAATGAGATTGACCTTATGCGTTGATGATGATAATGATATTATCAAGACAACAACGGTTGGTGCTGGTGTATAATTATGTTGTAAATGAATGCCAATGGTGGAGAAAAAAACCTCAAGAATTAGAGATTATGATGAACTCATGTTAAGATTGTATATGAGTTTTGGTAACATCGAAATCGACCATTTTTATGGTTTTGAGGTGATAGTCTTATCTTGAAATGTGACATTGTCATTGTGTATTTGTGTTGTTTTTGGTTAATTTAATGGAAACTTCACTTCTTTGAATGTATTCTCATCTACATACATGTGTCATGTGTGTATCATGAAATTTTGCTAAAAAACGGCCACTTCTCTTAAGCGTTCAACAACAAAAAAAGAAGCTAAAACGATGTCGTTTTGAGATCATGTCAAAGTTAATAAATAGACTCCTTTAGCACTTTGATGATTACACATTAGTCTCTCATGGAAACAAAAGCCTTTTGTGATTCTATGATGAAGCATCCAAGACACCCACAAGTTTCTGCACATCTCGCTGCAAAAAAGATTGTCAGCTTCTCAAATCACAGCTTTAATCATTATAAAAGAGATTCAAACACAAAAATCTACCAAGTGTTGAATAAAATAACAAAAATGATTTTACTTTTACCTCGATTGTAAGAGGTGAAGTTGTGGGGTAATATCGTTCAACAGGTTCTCCATTCTTATCAACCAGGAATTTTGCAAAGTTCCATTGAATGTCATCCCCAAAAATCCCCCATTTTCCAGACTTCAAGAACTTGTACAATGGTGCAGCATTATCACCATTCACTTCAATCTACGTCATATAACATATTAGATGAATCATGAATCAAATTTCAAATTAAAACCGGATTTTACCTTGTCAAAAATGGGAAACTCTGATTTGTATCGAGTGCAAACAAACTCTAGAATTTGTTCGTTACTCCCAGGCTCCTCTTCCCCAAACTGATTACATGGAAACGCTAAGATCTCCAAACCTATCAAGTTTTTGCGATTTTTTTTTAGCGTATAAACACGAATCAAACAAGCTATACTATTGAAAAACGAACCTTCATCTTTGTATTTTGCGTAGAGTTGATTTAATTCAGCATAATTGGAATTCGTCAATCCACTGCCAGAAAGAAAGAACCTTTTATAAGTACTAGTGAAGAACAATTGAAAAGCAGCACCATGATGAATTGTTCATACACAGGTAGCTAAATAATCGAACCATTTGGAGGCAACGTTGATTACAAGTAGAACTTTTCCTTTGTAGATGCCAAGATCAACACAATTTCCATTAGCATCCTGCATACAATGAACTGAAGTTTATAGCTTCAAAGCCAAATATGATTTTGTTATATCACCATATCAAATTTGAGTTTTGACTTTAAAAGTCAAATATGGAGCGTCAAATTGTATAGGGTTTGAGGACCAAATCCCAAATTACAAAATTAAGCTGAACCACACATCGAAAATTAGTTCCTTGTCGATGGGTGTCGATCTTTAACATCAAAATGTTGAGAAATCAATGTGTCAAATAATGAAAGTAAATATATCAATAAGCCTTCATAAACAGAAGTTTCTTGTTCATGATGAAAGCTAGGTTTCTTTACCTTGACTGTGAAATCATGGATGGATTTAGGTTGGTTTGCCATGGCTGGTTGACCGATCAGAGGATAATGGCTACACAAGAAAGAAGGGAGAAGAGGAGAGCTTGACCTTTTTGTTTGATACCAAACTGCACGATTCACCCCTCTTCAAACAAAATTAGGTTTACATGTAATAATTAATAGAAAATTTAAACTCATATATCAAATGTTGTCTATATATCTATATATATAATAAGAGTCGAATAAATTTAGTTTCACACTATAATAAAATCACTCCATTAAACAAGTGTGTAAGAGTTTAATCTCTTAACTTTATACAATGAGTTATATATATATATATATATATATATATATATATATATATATATATATATATATATATATATATATATATATATATATATATATATATATATATATATATATATATATATATATGGAGAAGTTCAATAGATAACCATTATTATTCAAGGAACCAACGAAACAATCCAAAGCGTCTGAATTTAAAGCGATCAACGACAAAAGAAATGATTGTAAATTTTTATAATGGACGCACATGTACCGGATTATAACAAAACTCACTTCATTTTTTTTCATTTAAATTTTTCTTAGGCCAATGTTTTTATCGAAAAAAAATCCGAATATACCGTTGTTCACGATTTTTCGTCCTCTTTCCATAGAGATCGATGATGATACATCAAAAACGATTTTTTTTTTCGTAATAAAACCCACTTAGTTTTCTTATTTTTTTCAATATTTAAGCTTTTTTTATAAAAAAAAAACTAATTATACCAAAAATATTAATTTTTTGTACTCTATTAATAAACATCAACACCGATTTAAAAAAAAAAACCTCGAACAGTGTAGATTCACACTGTGAATCTAAATTGTAAATATTTCAATTTTTAACATTCACAATATGAAAAATCTCGAACAGTTCCTATTCACATTGTGAATTTGAATTACTATTATGCACACCGTGAATATGAGAAAGTTTTAAAAAAAAACTAAAAATTAAAAAAAAAAAAAAAACTTCGATCAGTGTAGATTCACATTGTGAATCTAAATTGCATATTTCAAATTTTAACATTCACAATGTGAAAAAGCTCCGATCAGTTCAGATTTACATTGTGAATCTGAGGAGGTTTACAATATCAATCTGAACAAGTTCACAATGTGAATCTGAACAAGTTTACAATATCAATCTGAACAAGTTCACAATGTGAATCTGAATTGAAATATTATTTTTTTTACATGAATATGAATCTATGTTTAAAAAATACAAAAAATATGAATTTTGATATATTTATTAATTTTTTTCTATAAAAATAGACCTTAACTTTTTTCATTAAAGAAAATGGTGAGATTTTTTCGAAAAAAAAGTTCATTTTTTATATATCATCATCGATCTGTATGGAAAGCAGATGGAAAATCGTGAACAACGGTATATTCGGGTTTTTTTTTTTTTTTTTTTTGATAAAAAACATGGCATAAAAAAAATTTAAACGAAAAAAAATGGTGAGTTTTTTTTGTAAATGATGGATTTTTTGGTATATATATATATATATATATATATATATATATATATATATATATATATATATATATATATATATATATATATGATAGGTGCATTTTATGCACCTATTTTGCATGTTTATTTTCGTCTTTTTATAGCATTCTACTTTATAATTCTTGCATTTAGTTGATTATTAGGGCAATTACATATTTCATTAAGAGTGCCTGGTACTTCACTATTTTTGATTTATTTTGCAGGCATTATGGAGCATGGAACGTGGAGCTTGGATGCATGGATGCATGGATGCTTGGATGCTTGGAACGTAGAGCTTTGGAACATGAAGATGGAGCCAACAGTGAAGACGTTTTGGAATTTTAGCAAAAAGCATGGGCCATGCCAAAAACGCATGGTCAAGACAAATGGCCATGCCAAAGAAAAAACACATGGGCAAAAGGCATGGCCATGCCAAAAACGCATGGCCTCATGGCATGTCACGTGAACTTTAATAAAAGAGCAGGAGACGTCATTTTGAAGAGAGAACGGTTTTGGGAGTAGTTTCTGGCGATCTAGGCCAATTTTGGGAGAATTCTTGGAGCTTTTGAGAAGACTTAATCATTGCAAACATTGGGATTTCACTTTTGTAAGGATTAAACATTCCAATTCCATCTTATTCTTGTTTGATTTGTTCTTAGCCATGTGTGGCTAAGAAACCCTAGTTCTAGTTCTTGTTCAAAAAAATGTTGATTGCTTGACTTGAAGCATATGATTTGATGTTTGATTTGTGATTCTATTCTAGTGATTATGTTTTTGTTTAAACTAGAATCCTTGAATTTGATTTGTGTTTGATTGGCCACTTTCATGAATTGAATTTTTGTGTAGTTAATTAACTTTTAGGGCACCTAATTGTTCTATTGAGTTAATAATTGGTAACAAGCAATAAGTTTTCTTATTGTAAAACATATATCACATGTTTTCACACTTCCGAGCGTATGAGAAGAAATGAACATTGTTGGGAAGCTTGTACAAAACTTAATGCAGTTTTTCAATACAATCTAAGAGCGTGTTTAGGTTGAATTAGTAAAGCTAGGTCTAATCAAAGAGCGTGTTTTGGTTAGATAATTTGGCAAGCGAGAGTTATTAGAGCGTGTTAATATCTTTCAGTACCAACATAGAATAGCAATCTTGAATTACATCAAGTCATAATCAAGTTGAACAACAACATTGAGAACAAGAACTAGAACCATTCAATCAATTTGTTTACAAATCTATTTCATTTTGTGCATGTTTTTAAAGTAGATTGTTATTTAGTTATTTACTTTTGCAAACAAACCCCCCTTTGTGACCAAAGTACCTTGTGCAAAAAGGTATAGACTTTTGTCCCGTGTCTCTGTGGTTCGACCCTGCTTGCCTTGTACTACTTTTTAGTGCATTAAAGCAGTGTATTTGGAGTCTATTGTACCCCTTTATTTGTTGGGTCTGACACGCCTAACAAATTGGCGCCGTGCCGGGACACGGTGTTACTAATTGTTTATGCCTAGATCCTTTCGTACAGGTATACCACTGCCAATTGACTCGGAGATAGAGAAGACTGCAAAGAAGTTAAGGAAGCAAGCCAAGCTTCGTAAGAGGCAACCAGTTTCCGGTACTTCTTCATCCTCCAATCCCCCGGTCATCAACATTTGGGAGGATATTACCCTCTCAAGTGTGTCTGCATCCGAAACAGAAAGTCCATTACCTTCACCTCAACCATCCTCATCTAGAAATACCACCCCACCCTCTTCACCTACTCATCACAACCCAAACAATACACCCACAGAAACTTCAACCACTACTCATACCATGGGAGACAACCATGGAGGGAATCCGCCTCCAAATCCACCACCCGAACAAACCCTTCGCCAATGGGCGAGGCAAGAGGTTACTCAACAACCTCTTTGCATCACCTATCCGGCAGCCACAAACCTTGAATTAAAATCCGGTCTCATTCACTTACTCCCAACCTTTAGAGGCTTAGAAAATGAAGATCCCCACAAGTTCCTCACAGAGTTCCATGTTGTGTGTGTTGGCATGAAACCGCACAATGTCACTGAAGACCAAATCAAGCTTAGGGCATTTCCCTTTGCAGTGCAAGACTCAGCAAAAGATTGGCTTTATGACCTTCCACCGGGGACGGTCAACACATGGGTATATCTTGCACGCCTCTTCTTAGACAAATACTTCCCAGAAATGAAAGCCTCAGCCCTAAGAAGAGAGATAATTGGGATCAAACAACACAAAAGAGAAGCCTTTCATACATATTGGGAGAGGTTCAAAAAGCTTTGTGCCCGTTGCCCAAAGCATGGTATTAGTGAGTATCAAATCCTTCAATACTTCATTGAAGGCATGACTCCTTGGGAAAGAAGACTTCTTAATGCTTCAAGTGGAGGATCTTTGACTGACAAGACCCCAACGGAGATTCGGGATCTCATAAAAAACATGGCGGAGGATTCAAAGCATACTAGTCAAGATGAAGATTGGTACACAGATGCACCTCGAGGTGTAAAAGAAGTGCACACTCCTCAAATTGAAGCTCAACTATCCGAATTGACTAAGGTGGTAATGATGCTTGCTAAGGACAAAGGTGTGCAATCCACACCCCGTCCCTGTGGCATTTGCACTCAAGTGGGACATCCGACTGATATGTGTCCTCAATTGCAAGAAGAAGAATATGAAGAAGCAAATGTTATAGGAGGCTATTCCGGGCATAATCAAAGAACTTATGATCAACCCCGAGGCAATCAAGGGTGGAACAACAACCAAAACATGGGTTATCAACAAAGACCCCCACCCCATTACCAAGTAAGGCCTCCATTCCCACAACAAAATTACCAACCGAGGCAACAACAACCCCCTCTTCCTCAACAAGCTGGATCCTCAAGTATGTCCTTAGAAGACATAGTCAAAAGCCTAGCCACCAGCACCCAAAGTTTTCAGCAAGAGACCAAGGCAAGCATCAAGAATCTTGAGCAACAAATGGCACAACTTGCTCAATCGGTGAGCAAAATGGAGAATCAAGGAAAGCTACCTCCTCAAACTGAAAAGAACCCAAAGCACAATGCTTGTGCAATTAGCTTGAGGAGTGGAAAGAAATATGACGGCCCGAAGATACCCGAAGAAGAAGAAGAGGAGTTGGTGATAGAAGAACCACCAAAGAAGGATGAAAAGAAAGAAGAAATGGTGGAGCAAAAGAAGCCGGAAGAGAAAGAAGCAAAGATCACACCACCACCTTTTCCATCAAGATTGAGCAGCAACAAAAAAGAGAGAGAAGATAGTGCAATCATGGCAATGTTCCGGAAAGTTGAAGTCAACATTCCTCTCTTAGATGCGATCAAACAGGTACCTAGGTATGCTAAGTTTCTTAAGGAACTTTGCACATCTAAAAAGAAACTGCGAGGTAATGAGACAGTGAAAGTAAGTGAAAATGTGTCTGCAGTTTTGCAGAAAAGGATGCCCCCAAAGTGCAAGGATCCAGGTGTTTTTACCGTTCCTTGCAAATTGGGAAACTTGTATGTCCCCCGTGCTATGCTAGATTTAGGAGCTTCAATTAATGTTTTACCATATTCTGTTTATAAATCTATTGGCATAGGCACTTTAACAAAAACAGGGGTAATCATCCAACTTGCAGATCGTTCTATAGTACACCCAAAGGGTGTATTAGAGGATGTTTTGGTGCAAGTTAATGAGCTTGTCTTTCCTGCAGATTTTTATGTGCTTGATATGGGAGATGATGA